CAACTCCCAAAACTGCACGATTTGTGGCCTAAATTGGAGAGGATCAACGAACAGCTGATTGCGGCGAGAAAAACAAGAAAACAGATTTCTAGGATTTCTTCTTCTTTTCAGAGTTTGCTTACATTTTTCCTTTTGAAACTGCTTGAAACAGGGTTCTGTTTTTTTCAATTGCTCTATGTTCCAAAATTTTCGTTTTTCATGATATCCTCGTCAAAATATGGTAAATTTAGATTTGTTTTATCCCTTTATTTGCTTGGCGATATCCTTGATAGCGGTCGCCATCGATTTTTCTCGATAGCGGCCGCTATCAAAGATTGTCCGTGGTGGTGCAAAAATCTGCCACTAGCCGGCTTCGAAACATGGTCTTGCGCGTTGCAACCTATCCGCTCGACCAAACCTGCTCAAAGTGTTGAGTTTTTGGGAACACACAAGATCTCCATGTCTAGAAAGCGATCAGCAACCAGATCAATAGCTCACCGGATGCCGGACTGAGGCGGCCTACGTTCAACGTAGACCCGCCCCCAGCCGAGTTGCGTTGAGAGGGGGTTTACTACCGGCCATTGCCTTCAAACCAACCTGAATCGGGATTCTCAGTAACTTGTCCCCAAGAATAGGCCCCTCAAAGTTCGTTGGCCGTATTCACCAACGAACCATTGAGGGCAGGGTTCACCCCGAAAAGCGATTAACCCGTATTCATCAAAACTCTGTGGGTAAATTCTACCTTTGAGGGAACCTCACCCCAGAAATCGATTAACTCGTATTCATAATCGTGATTCATCGGGATAAATTGAACCTTCGCATAGATCAAGGTTTACCTTGACACTCTCTAGAAACATGAACTGATCTTTTGATGGACCACTCAGACCTAGCAATAGTGTTTTGACAACAAACACATATTTGAAATTACCATTATTTTGAAAATTTCTATGGTTTCTTTTCGTTTGATGTTATCATCCGGTACTACATTCAGCCGAGTTGTAAAGGTGAAAGTTTTAGTTTTGAATAAAACATAATACAATTAGGATCAAAGGCTTTGTCATGGCGAACATCAAGCTCAACAAATCAGAGAAATATTTGTAACATGAAGCCCCCTCAATCAAATTTTTGTTCAAGGATATACTCGTTTAATAATAGGATACATGGTCAAGCTATCGTAGCGCAACTAAATACACTCAAAGCCCTGCACCCTGTGCTTCATGGACACAGGTTAATCGCTTTCTGAGGCAAAACTTACCCTCCAGGGTAAGGTTTGCTCGCAGGGTTCGTTGATGGATGGGGCCACTGAAGTAAAAGCTCCGAATTCAGACGTTCGGTCAACTGCATATCTATCTTCCTACGACTTTTATCCATGTGTTAAGTTCATATATGACTTTCCAAAAGCGCAAGATTCTGACATCACAAAACACCACTAAATATGTTTTTTGCATAAACAGCATTTGAAACTATTATAATTTCACATGCAAGAAGAAGACACGAGTCCTATAAACGTGAAAGATTTTGCGTATGATCTTGTTTTCCTTGAACTATTTAACATGAAGGCAAGAATGATTACTACTCCCATGCTTAGTATCAGATTATTTCGCAGCTACATAATTTAGCGATTTTTGATCACAACGTTGATGAACATTCCGTTCTGCTGTTCCAAATCAGACAGACTGATCCATGATCAACTTCTGCCAAACAAGAATTGTTGACTAATAGCATCAGCGCAAAACGTAACTATCTGTAACTAGTTATTTCCAACATTTAACAACGATGATATTCCATTTCCTTCCAGCAATTTATTGTAAACGACAAAAGACATAACTGGAGCTTTTTCCCTCATCGAGTAGTGTAGACAAGACCCGACTGGGGATGGAAATGTCAAGCTGAGAATTGTATGAGAAAAAAAGAAGAAACTATGTAAACCTTCAAGGATTCCGGACAAATGATCAATAAGCACACGACTGACGTGAATTTTTTTACCATCTATGATTTCACAATGATGAAAATGTCCGAAAGTTTGGAATGTTGCTGACAAAGTAGATCGATATGCTAGAACACAGAGCATCTAAAGACAGGAAATTCTGACAAATCCATGATTCTGCTCCAATAAACTACCACACTACGAAACCTTGCTCTAATCTACAACATTACCTCAATGCTCTGTTCATCCTATTTGTGCTTATCACCGCATTCTGCCAAGAAAAAAGAGGAGACCTTGCCATTTCCCCAAATCTGATTGTGGGTAATGGTTGCAATTTGCAGAAACTTGCTCTTTTATCTCCTTAGCATGCCATCTCACGAGAATGGCATATATTTGGGTATATAAGAACGCAACACATTTCCTTTAGTCGATAGCATGTTGTTTTCGGCTAGAAGCCGAAGACTAATCTGCAGAGTTGTTGTTGCAGAAAAAATCGTTACTATAAAAAACGAGACGCCAATGCTCGGCATTAACCCTTCTGAGAACTTACAACAATCAGCTCAGTGCCTTCGCCATAACAATCGGAATTGATTTGTTTTTCTAATTCAACCATCTCTAGCAACATAAATGACGTTATAGTTTGTGACACTCTAACTTATAAATGCTTATTTGCCCTCTCTAAACAGGTATCAACAATTTTTACATCATCAACACTTTTGTCTGTTAATCGAGTGTATTTATAGTTGTTTTCACATTTGAGTCAAATATGTTTTTTGATCTCTAGGCGGAGCTCAGCTTCACAGTATCGGTTTACATTCATTTATCACTAAAATTATCTTCCTAGCAATAATCTTGATTCTTAGATAGCCCAAATTATAAATCTTTCTGATTACAATTTGTAATTTGCTTAAGCGGTCACTAAGCTGTTTCACTTCTATGACTTTTGTGAAGGCCATGTACACAAATTTCGAATTGATAGCGAAGTTGCCAATAAACTTTTTCAAAATAAAAAACCCCTTTTGCCAGATTTCCACAGGAGACTTCTCAAGCTTCAACGCCCCAAGTTGAGAATGCAAACGCTGGATGATTACAAGCGACGCCCGATATAGGCTTTTCAAATACAGATATGGGCATGCAATTTAGGGGACAATTTTGTTTCACGATTTTCCTTTTTTTTTGAATCCCTTCCATCACAAAACATAGTCTTTAGACATTTCCCTCATTATAACTTTCATTAAACAAGAATTCGAACTGTGATAAGCTCCGATATAGAAAAGAGACTTCTTACCAGACTTCTGAACGAATCTTCAGCACTTTCAAATCAAAAATATCAAATGGTACCGAAAACTTGAATATTGACCACAAGAAACGTGTGGCACCAATTCAAAGGACATAAGCATGATTTTGATAAGGATAACGCTTTACTTTTTCTTGTATTCCTTCCAGTTTTCTACACTCTTTAATTCTCTTGTATGGTGCGCCAATGGCTCGATCTCCTTCCACCTAAGATGATCCCTCGCAAAAATTCGAGCTTCGCAGAAAACCTAGCTTACATATAGGTTCCACAGACCCTGAAAAATTGCTAACTAGACTCATGCTTTTACGCTAACTTTTACTCATTTTTGCTTCTAAACAGCACTTCTTTCAAATGTTGTTTTTTGCTTTCCTTCAAAAGCAATTACGTCTGATATAGAGTTTTGACATTCTTCTGCCTCATATGCCATTTAAATGCCATTTGGAGACATCTGGCCCGGTAGTAATCTATCCTACACGATGGCATCATAGATGCCGGCAAGTTGGCACGCATCGCGCAAAGATGTCAACTTCGGCGTTAGCTCACGGATGGTTATAGGATTTGGTGATTTCGTGTTGTCTTAGTCCGCAGCACTTTCTCCGATTTTGACGATGCAGTCTGCCGAAAAACGTTGCCGCGCGACCTTAAGCCTGCATGCATCCACCTCGAGTGCGGGCCTGTTGCCCAATCGGCCACTCGTGCACATATTGCTCTCGAAGAACAAGGGTAAGAAGGCACAGACGCGGCGCCCGTAAGAGTGTATGATCAATACGGTGTGTGTAGACTTTGACCCCAAACAGCTAATCGAGATGGACAAATGGCACACGAAATCGTTCTGAACGGGACAATGGAGAAGGAGAGACGATGCTCACTAATATCTCGCGATGAAATCAATTTAACTTTCATACAAATCATATATTTTGACCTAAGGAAACTCAAATAATGCTAAAAATAACGACGAAAAAAAGTAGAAATTTTGGTATTGTTGGCTGAGACGTATTTAACTTGTGTGATATGCCGTAGCACTCAAACTCACAGACGCCGCCAGCAAGGTGCTCTAGCATCTCGACGTGGTAGGGGCATGTCGAGATGCTGCCACTTTTCTCTCTCAAAAAAGCACGCTATTTCTGGTGATCTCTGACTCGCCGGCGGCTCCCATCTTGTAATTTTCGACGAGCTGCCGGCAGATTGCCAGCAGGTTGCTGGCAGTTAGCTCGCACCGCTACCAGCAGCACCTCCTGCCCTTTTCTATATATTTTTCTGTGAGTGAATTCCTGGAATCTCAACATTTGATGTAGGTTTGTTCAAAAATTGCCTTAGCGTCTTCACCCAGGCATTTTCTTATAAAAAGGCTTAGACGGCCTAAATGTGGAATCTTAGTTTTTTGCCGACTTCGCGTCAAGGTGCCGGCTACCTGCCGTCGAGAATTACCGCCACGGGGCATTACTATCGTCCCAGAGTGGGCATGCCCCTTCCTGATTACCCCCCCCCCCCGCCTCCTCTCTCCACCTCTTCCCGCCCGTCCGCTGGTCAGTTATGCCCGGGAAATGTACCTTCATATTAGTGCTCGTAAATAACCGGGAATTGGGGAGAAAATTCTTCATCATTCTTTGAAAGAAAACGAATTGCCGATATCGGAAGGAACCTCATTTAGACTAACGATATATGAATTGCTGTGCTTTGTATTAATTCCTTCACCTCTTCCTCCGAATATCCTACACATTTGTTTCGAGAACTCACTACAAGCAACTACTCCAGTTTCTTTTCAGATCCCAATCATATACACTACTAATTCGCAAAATGAACCATACACCCACAGCAGCTCCTCCATCGATGACTGACGTAGTAGAGACTCACGAACTTCCTACAGTGGTTGTCACTCTACCCATACATTTGCTCACTTCTATATTTATTGCTGTCTTCATGATTAGCATAATGTCAACAAAGCATATGCAAAGCCGGGTTCAGTGGCTTTTCGGTATCAGCTGCATCTTCTTCCTGATCGCTTCACTGTACGATGTTGCCATTGATGTGGCCTATTTGGTGATTTCGAAAAGACCGGTGAGTCTCAACAGATATGATTTGGGTTTGGCACTTTATACCTTATCAAGGATGATTTAGGTCACTGTTCAAACATGTTCTGTAATCAGAAACTTCGTCTACAATCCCGTCGCTACGCAGACTCTTGTAGACGCTTGTGATCGTTTTGCACTAGCATTTTTCAATTTTGAGATGTCTCTGATCTCGTAAGTCTCAACCATTCTTATGAATCCTCCATTACTGAACTCAGCAATTTCAGAATGTTCGCATTCTACAGTATATTCCCCTTGATTTGCATAGCATTAGCCGTTTACAACAGATTCATCTCGCAAGAGTTAACGCACACCGATGACGTTTGTAAGACCATTCGACGTGCACCATGGACCAATAGTTTACTTCTCTCTATTCAATGGTAAATTTTGGGCAAGATAATGAGGAGTCTTCTTGGAAGAGTTGTAAAATGGCCCTCTTGCCCTCTCTTAACAAAAAATTTGACTTTGACAATCCTGCGATCAAAGTCTTTTCTTTTTATTTCGTCACACTGCTCAGTTTAAGGAGTTCAGCTTTGCTTGCTTTCATACTGTACGTTTGCATATGGCGTAAACTACAACGCGAACGCAAGTCAAAGTCTGGGCTAAACGACGAGAAGCATGAATATGATTCGAATAAGATGGTGAGGATAACATAGAAACTTAGCTACTATCAAACCACAACACTGTAGACTTACATTTCAGTGTCCAAATCGTTATTACTGGGACCATCACGTTATCAGAATATTCTTTATCTGTTGTACATTGCCACTATTTTTAGCACTACCGAGTTTGTTATTTACCATCATCACAGACCTGGAACTCTATGAGAATCCGGTGAGTCAGAGCGCATGAAAATTGCATCGCTTTGCAAAATAATCAAATAGTAATTCAAAATGATAAGAAACTCGCTGCTACTCCTTATGATAGAGAGAGCGGTCTCTCACGCTCCAGATATGTTTGCAAACTTTTACTTTTACAGATACCGGAAATGAGTATTATCGGAGGAGGAAAAAGGGGAAGATTCCTTAAACACTAATCGAATAGTTCTAATTAATCACCATGATACTGCCAGCCCGTCTCGGCTTCACAAGAAAGTCTAAATTAGCTAGCTGACAAAACATGTACTATAGCGTAAAATGTTTTTTTTTGTTTGAAAGTCTTCTCGTGCTTATTCTATAGCTCAGTTGGAGGACTGCGGACATATGACGCTAATTTTCTTTGTATTGGAGCACTGCTTCAAAACCTCTCCATCTCCCAACCTTGAAACCGTTCCGCTCTTCTCCCTCCTCTACTTGAGAGAAACTCCTACCGCTAACTCAAGACGCTCCGTAAATTCCTCTTCTCTCAAATTCGTGCTGTGCGCTGCATTTTGTAAAAAGAAAGCGTTTATCCGCGTGATTTAGAAAACGGGGCTCGAATTATCGCATTCTCCTAACCTTAGAGTTGAAATCTTTACTATTCCTTTTATATGATTATGGGAAAATAGTAGGGTGTCTCATAATTTTTTACCGTTTCTGCAACCGCCGTCTTTTTGTATCTTTCCTTCATCTGATGTGGCTTGAGTAATCATTCGACAGGGCAAAGCAAGCTCTACAAGATTTCTATCAAAAGTCTGCCCAGATCACATCATACGTGAAGTTTTGAGCTGAAATCTGATAATAGTTAAAAACGAACTTTTCTTTCAAAAATCGTATCTCCGACCCAAAATATCCAAAAAATTTCCCATTCATGCTAGCATATGCTTGACACATCGCGTATTCAACTGTACACTTCTCGAATTTTTTCCATGTCTAGAAGTAAAGAAAAAATGAATGAGGCAAAATGGCAAACTCCGCCTCTATACGATTTGAGATCCTACCATGCAGTGATCATATAGCTTATATATACATAAGTACGATCATGTGTTTGGATCTTTCGTGGGTGCTCCAATTCTCGAGAAATGCTGATGTGGTAATGGTAAAAAATTATGAAACACCCTAATAAACGATTAAGACTAACAAGGACTGCATGTTTGGTCGAAGTGGCCTTTTGGAATGGGATGTATACCATACTGAAGGGCATAAAATGCTGATTTCAAATCTCCCTTCCCTATCTGCAGAACATTTATGGACGAGGAGTTATGAGCGCTCATTGGAGCAAAAAACTGAATGTGCTGTATGACAAAAATAGTCGTAATACTTTTTTGGCTCTCCAATGGAGCAGTGATAATCATCAGAGCACTTTGTTCAAAAATACTCTAAAATAAAAAATTTATCACATTTGGTTGCATAGTTTGAAGGCTAGTAAGATTTTAGCAACTCATTTTATAGAAAATGCACATTCAATTTTTGGCTCAAAAACGCTCATAATTCTTCGTCCATACATGTTCTGCAGATAAGAAAGGCAATTTTAGAATCAGCGTTTTATGCCCTTTAGTACGGTATACATTTCATTTGAAGAGACCACTTCGACTAAACAAGCCTTATAAGAAGCTTTCATTCTCATAGATGTAACAACAAATCAATAGACTGATAAAAGGGCCCACTGAATTGCCGTGAAGAGTAGCTTTTGGCATGGACCTCGAAAACATATGTGTGCCAAGTTTGGCGCTGATCGGTCCACACAAAAAATTTTACGACGAACCTACTAACCAGCACCTTTACCAATACTAGGTTTCATATACATATGTGTGGAGATATGTTATCTTTTTTACCGAGAAATAGCTTGAGTCTTCGCCCTATCTGTTAAGAACGCTTTGTTCTGGCTCCTATATTTTTACAACTTAGAAAATGGAACCTTTCTTAGTGTAAAAGATTGAGTCGCACTTCATTTGCATTTTTGTCCTTTTCGCACACTTGTGACTCCTTCGGAAAAAATGCATGGAGCTCTTCGGATGTAAAGCTTACTGAAAGCGCAGCCCATACATTTTTGGGAACCAAGCAGCAAATAGCGTGTTATCAGAGCTATGGGAAAAATCATTTATATGGAATGAATTGTTAGCCGAATATCGTTGACTGACACGAAAAGCCAAAATTTGCGAACGAGTCTCGTACCATGCTTCCCCGCAATTACCTGAATTAGGTTTTCCCGCTGAACTGATAATAGCCCTGTTTTCAAAGCATACATAGCCAGGACCCGGTAGTATGAGGGTGAAAAACGTCAAGTTGAAAGTTCTTTAAGGAAAAAAGCAAAGAGGATATCGTGAAAATGAGTTCATCACTAATACGCCCCCGCAACAAGTTGCTACGCGACTGACGTGCAAAAACACGATTTGACGGCCCCTCGTTCCCAAGACCGTTCTTTCCATCAAGTAGTAATGAACTGTCTCAATCATAGGGCACACATAACGATATGACTCCGAATTTGGTGTATAATCGGACAAGGCCAGTGTATTGCAAATGGAAAAAATATGTTTGAAGGTTGCGGCAAATTTTTTCTGTAAAAATTTCATTGGTAAAAGGAAAAATGATCATTTGAACGTACTACTACCTGACTCCGAACTTGATATGTATATACGTGTGAAGGAGTGAGAACAAAGTATGAAATTTTACGAAGAGCATTGTGAAGAAATCGTACCCAACTATTCAAACTAGGGGGGCAAATGCCAATCTACTTTCGACCAACGAATTATTATTCGATAATTGGATAAAACATTCGCATGCGAATGATTCGAAAATTCTAACGCTCGAAAATATGAGTTTTCGAAAAAGTTCAAAGGACAAATATTCGAAAATGTTCATTTTCGATTATCCGAAACTCTAACAAGGGAACGATCCCAACTTAAGGTGGCGAATTGGAATGAACCGCATACCGTTAGATGCGTCTTGATGAGCTGATTCCAAATCTACCTTCCTTCTGCGATGCCGTTAACTGGAAAAAGTTATGAAAGGTTAGAAATGTGGAGTCATTGGGATTTTAATGCATAATATGCTTCAAAATCCAACTTGCAAGTGCACGACTAGCATGATATTGAATGTACTGATTTCAAGGAATGCTCAGATTCAAAAGAAACACAGATAAGTGTTTTTGAACAGCTAAAAGGCACCTAAACTTCATTGGTAAAAGCTATTAGCAATGAAAAATTCAAATTTGACAAATATACAGCACCGTACCTCGAAATTTAGTTGTTCAAAAACATTTATTTGTGTTTCTTTAGATTGTGAACATTCCTCGAAATCAGCACACTCAATATCATGCTATTCATACACTCCCAAGTTGGATTTTGAAGCACATTATGCATTGTAACCCCGATAACTTCATATTTTCAACCGCTCATAACTTTTTGCAGATAACAGCATAGCAGATAAGGGAGGTAGATTTGGAATCAGCTCATCAAGACGCATCTAAAGATATGCGGTTCACAATTCGCCACCCTAAGTTGGGATCGTTCCCTTGTAAGATACGAAATTTTCAGTTTTTGATCATTATTCGATAGTCGAATTTTCGATGGTCATTAATTCCTTTTATCAATTATTATCGAATCTTCGAATGTATGAGTTACGAATGATCAAAAATTTGACAGCCATAGTATTTATTGGGGCAAGATGCCAAATGTCTATCACCGCTCGCAGATGCGCTGAATTTGAAGATGTTTGCCATTTTTGGACATTTTTTGTTTCTCGCTTTCTATGCTCGGAAAAAATTCAGAAAAGCCATATTTGACTACTACTATATGCCTATTGTATAATGACCAAGTTGGAGGTCTGCAGGATTCTTTATCGCAGAAATCCAATTTTCAGGTGACAAAATCTTTTCCGATTTTGGCTTCAAACTTTCCATGGAATGCGATTTGGGCAAATCCTTGGTGGTCAACTTGTAGAGCTTGATTGGCTCTATCGAATGATACCCTAAGTTTACTAGGAAAACGAAAACAGCTTAAATTATTTGAAAAAGGAATTTACTTTTGGGACAACCTAATATATAGGACTAGCGAACCCTACGGGTCGCTAGCAAGCAGATTGGGGCAAACCCATTGATTAATGCTGTTTCAAATCTATAATTTTCCCACATGAATTTTCAGTTTGTCAGCATATGTATTGCCACAACCGCTCAAGGCGAGATTTTCGAAGATCTTCTCAAAAAATCAAACGGAAAATGGATCATTTTTCTGAAATAGTGGTTTGCTTTACCCATTCTCGCACTCACGCTCACAATGTGGTGAGAAAAAGTGAATTCGAGCAGAGCAATTGCTTTCAAAAGCGAGATTTTCAAAGACTTTCTCGCAAATTGTCCGGAAAGTGGATCATATTGTTCTAATATAGTGATTTGCTCCGAAAACCACTGTACATTTTCCTTCCACAATGTCGTTCTCGCACTCACGCTCACATTGTGGTGAGAAAAAGTGAATTCGAGCAGAGCGATTGCTCCCAAAAACGAAGTTTTCGAAGATTTTCTCAAAATTTGGGCGGGAAGTGGATCATATCGTTCTAAAACAGCTGACATGAATGGGAAGAGCATGTAGAACGAACGAGAGCATGAATATAGAGTTGGAATGTGAGCGGATCAATAAGGCCCGTACGCACGTACATCCCCGCTGGGGAGGGGATCTGAGAGGGGATGCGTCATATCTCGCTACTCCAAGTATCCTCCTTCTTCTTGCTCTATCCTGCTTATAAAGTTTTTCATACACTTGTACCTGCGCATAATGGATGCCAGGTCACTGTTATACAACATCGGCTTTTTGCCATTTTGTGTGATCGCCACGGGATCCCCTCATTTTCACAGTGATTTATCTTCCTGAGAAATTAAATAAAAACACTGCAAAATTGTACTGAGGATATACTACGACACTGCTAAGCATGTTTTCGACAAGAGAAATGGAATCTGAAGATAGTGAATTTTTCGATGATCCCTGGCTCGCGAGCTAGGGATTACCGAAGATTTCGATATCTTGAGATTTCATCTATTTCTACTATAAACATCTTTAGCAGTGCCGTAGTATAACCACAGTACAATATTACAGCGTTTTCATTTAGTTTTCAGGAAGATAAACGGCATTGAATTTAAGAGGTGATCCCCTAGGGATCCCCTGGGGATCCCCAGGGGTCACACAAAATAGGGAAATTCTAATCAATCACGCCAGTAACCTGGCATCATTTATGCGCAGGTATTAGATTATGAGAACCTTCATAAGCGAGATAGAGAAGGAAGAAGAAAGATACCCAAAGTAGCGAGAGATGACGCATCCCCTCTCAGATCCCCTCCCCTCCCCAGCGGGGATGTACGTGCATACGGGTCTAAATGTATGCTTTAACTTTCGCAACGTCACCATCTCGCATATTTCAACACATTTGGCACGCGCTTGCGTAATTCATCGCAACTATTGCAGCAGAGCGTACGTACCCTGCGCGTCGTGGTCTCTCGTTCGCGCTAGGTCCTTTGCGTCCTCTTCGCCTCATGATTGCACCGTCGCGTCTCTAAACGATAAGGCCCCCTCTCTTCGATTGGAGTCTGTTTAGAACAAACGTTAAAGCGATACATGTGGGCAGACCAATCTAGCCGTCGCGTTTTCGGGATCGGGTTTATATTAGGTTGTCCCATAAGTCTTTTCGTGTCTGAGTTTTCACCAGTATAAGTCTGCTCTCCCTAGATTTTCAATGGGGCGCGGGGCACCATTCGAAAGATCAAAGCAAACTCTACAATATGGCTCTCAAAAGTTCGTACCAGGCTTGATCAGCATCGAGTTTAAAGACAAAATGGAAAAAAAATCCAAAATCGCGAAAAAACGAAAATAATCGTATCTCACAATCAGTTCAAATTATTCTGCAAAGTTCCCAATTGCTCACGCGTATAATCTCATCATCAGATATTCATATACACACTTGCTGCATTTTTCTGATGGCTAGAAATCGAGAAAAAAATGCGCTCAATTTCCAAACTTTGCCTGTAATGGATCTATGCTCCTCGCAAATATATATGTGATATATAGCTTGATCACTCAAAAATACTGCCACAAATTTGCACCCTTATGGATGCCTTAGTTTTTAAGAAATATCAGTTTGAAGGTAAGAATATGAAAAGACATATGGGACAATTATTATAGGAAATGTGGGCAAAGTGCTTACAATCCATTAACACTTAGCATTGCCACATAGTGTTACCGAAATAACACGAGGCGTGTTCAAGACCTTATGGTCGAGTTTATTTGAGATATATACTTTGTGTTTAAGGTGGTGAACGTGATCTGCATCCTTATACTCGATCTCTCCACTCCAATCACCGTATTCATCTACATCTTCTTCATAAAGCATCTACGTCGAGGATTTGTGGATTGCATCTTTTCCGATGACATACGGGACAGCCATCCGTCAAAGCATAAAATCGTTTCCGAACATCTATAACTTTATCCTAACTTCGGCTGTATTACACGTATGGATATTGAGAGAGCAGCAGCAAGCAAAAAGTAACTGCTTCCACGCGCAATAGAAAGTGATGAATCTCAAGTCATTGTATGCATGCAAAGCGTTGTTCTTGCTAATTTCGAAAGAGACCAATTATGTTGCATATCGCAAAGTCTTTCGACGATATCTATGCGTATCTACCCGTAATATATTGTCGACTTCCTCGTAACTATGCTATTAGTCTTGTCTGCGTACCGTAGAGATCATGCCAAACGCATGATCTGCTGTAAGTATATCATTGCGCAAATGTTCATGCTGTGATATGATTACTCTAACAGATGTATGTTACCTAACTTCGCCCACCATACGTAGCATTCTTCCACTGCATGATGAGTACAAGTCTGTTCAATAAAGCTCTAATAGTTTCTGTGTTTAATAGCACACAAGAGCCACCAGACTCGATATAAGCGCCATCTTTCGTGTGCAGCTACAAAGCTCAGTCAGCCACCCCAATGCCAATTCACTTTACACAATGCCGCAATCATGTTGATTGACATTTTGCAAAAACGCTTACAAGAAAGGCCTGGAAAAATGTTTTTATTGCGCGGCTTTTCATTCGCTTGGCTGCATTGTACAACTTAGCTACCAATACCAGCTTAACGACTTACTCAAGAATGATAGATTCATCCAATCAGGCCAAAACTATTAGCATAGAGGGAGCCCGCGTCGCCAGGGTTTGCACCACGTCTGCGGCTAGCTTGTCTGCCCTCTCCTCAATCTCTTTGCTCTCTCCAACAGCGCGCAAACAGCGCTGCGACGCAAATTTAAGCAAGTCGTTCGACCTGATCTTAATTGGGACAGACCGCACTAGTCTCACCCAATTATATCCTACGCTATGGGAGCTTCTGGGCGCTCTTTCAATTTATTTATTTATTTATTTACAAAATGCACAATAAGTGCGCACGAGTAAACGTATTACAATAGATAGATGAGAGAGTATGAGAGGAAAAGGATAAAGAAAGCCAACATGTTTAAAAAGTAGACAACATCAATTCAGCAGTAATCTATCCAAATCAATGTTGGATAACTTTCTCTTGAACATTTGGGCATTACTTGACTGTAGAATATGAGGCGGAAGATTGTAACCATCTTGCACCTCTACAGAACAACATGTTGAAAGTTAGCAGAAATTGTTTTTTATTGATTGGGGGATAATGCAAGTTGAACGATCCAGAGCGTTCGTTGATTGGTGGGTATAAATAATCAGTATTTACTAGCTTTGAGTCTGATTTCTCTACGTAAGATTTTAAATCAGAGTACCAGATCAGAGACTTTTCGACGGTATGCCAAACTTCGCATGTTGAGAATTTTCAGACGATTATTGTAATCGGGAACGTTTCTGTTGAACCAGCACCTGCGAAATAGTAATCGAGTAAAAGTATGTTGTACCTTTTCTAGTTTCCTCATATCTTTCTTACAGTAAGGGCTCCAAACTTGTGAGCAATATTCAAGATGAGGTAACATATACGTTTTATACAAGAGCTTCAAAACTGAAGGATTTTGTGAGTGTATATTCCGAAAAATGGCATACAGTACAGTATACGCTTTTCTGACTATACAATCTATGTGTAGTGAAAATTTGAGGATGGAATCAATAAAAATTCCTAAATCTTTGATTGAAGTGCACTCCCTTAAAGTTATACCATCAATTTCATATTTTGTTGCTGTAGTATTCCCAATGTGCATAACGCAACATTTGTCCAAGTTGAGAGGAATATCCCAAGTTACCGACCATTCAAGCATTTTTCTGATAGAACTTGTGAGGGCTGACTGAACCTCCAAAAAATCATTAGAATCGTAAATACCGAAAATTTTTACATCGTCAGCATATATCTGTACTTTGACTGAAGATGAGGTTTTCAGTATCTTAGGTAGGTCTGAAGTGTATAAGAGGATTAGCAAAGGCGAGAGCACACCACCCTGTGGGACTCCGCTTTTGCATGCGTACTTTCCAGAGTAACTATGGCCAATTCTGACAGTCATATGTCTGTTTTGCAGATAAGAATTTAACCAAGCTAGCAGAGTACCAGTAATTCCAATTGCCGACATCTGTGGACCAATCGACCGCACTATCGGGATTGTGTCCCGCCTTCTAGTGGATCTCTCAGAAAGCGCACTGATAAGAGTGTAACATACTGAACTCCTGATATCGTACGAGCCAGCATTGCTGCTTGCCACATCAACAAAACACAACACTTCACAGGTGCCCACAACTCATCCCATAAAACAGGACTACAACTCATACATGGGATGAGTGGTAACGGTCTAGATGTCGCCAAAGGCCGGCCAGTCCAAGCAAAGCTGCTTCACCGAAGAGCGTCAGGGGAGAACGTACCCCGTCTTCCAACTGCAATGTGGGCAATTGTCCTCGTCGTAATTTTTTGGTGATGGCGATAGGTGTGGAAGTGCTCCTTGACTGATTGATTAATTGATTGACTGATTGACAGATTCCTTATTGGTTAGCTGATTGGTTATTAGTACCGATTGCTCTAGTGGGCACTTGCGGCGAGACTGACTTTTCTAAAAAACGAGGGTTATTCATTCGCCTAGGGTAGGTATATGTCAACTGCGAGATATACGTAGACATACGACAAGGAATCAGAGACAGTCTTCATTGAAACAGGTGGAAAAATTGACTAGCGAGAATGACAAATAAAACCCACCAGTTGCATTTCGTAGCTGTGCAGTTAAGATATCCATTGATGGGGTTCTACGGTAAAACACAAGAAGGGTTACGAGAGTGGATATGGTGGAACTGTGTTCAGCTGTCAAGCATTTCTCTTTCCCATAGAAAACAATACCGTGCGGGAAGAGTATTATCTGCGCAATATGTCAGACAATCCTCTAACGCAAAATCACAGCGAAATCTACGATTTTGAAAGTATAGAGCAAGAACGTAAGAGGACTACCGCGCAATTTAGTTCAAAAACAGCACTACCGAAGTGTCCGCAAGATTCCAAGCTTCATTGTCAAATATACTTCACAATGTTATGGATAACTACGCAACTATGACCGCAATTGCAGTCCAACCTTATGTATAAAGCTGAATGTCTGTTTGTCTGTCTGTATGTGCGAAATAGAAGTTTTTATTTCTGAACCGATTTGGACCAGACCTGGCACACATACACTTCGGGGCGGGGAACGTGCATAGGCTACTTTTCGTCGTCGATCGATATCGATTTTATCAATTTTTATCGATTTTTTTTGCAGAGTTCACCTACGGGGCTGAGAGTTGGCATAGGGGAGTAAGTGAGCATGGCGATCCCGAATACAATATTAGTTTTCAGAATTATCGATTACTTTTATGGATTTTATCGGTTTTTGGCAAAGTTTGAGCTACAGGTTGGGAGTTGGCACAGAGGGTAATCCAGCATGCTGATTACGATTACAATATTAGTTTTTGGTATTACCTACTACTTTTTATCAATTTTATCGATTTTTGCAAAGTTTGAGCTACAGGACTGGGAGTTGGCACAGGGGGTAAGTGGGCATGCTGATTTCGAAGATGCAGGGAACGGGAAATGAAGTGTAGAAGTGGGCAGATGGAAAAGCTGTACAGGGATAAAGATGAAACCTTTATTGCAGTGTTTTGACAGGGCCGAGTGGAGCCGGGTAAGCAAGCTAGTTATCTACAATACCGCTCACATTTTTTGAAAAATAGACGCGAATGTATGGACATGTATGGACATGTACGGACATGTCCATACATGTATGGACATGTCCATACATGTCATACATTTGCGTCTATTTTTCAAAAAATGTGAGCGGTATTGTACACAATACAACAAAGACCGTAACTATCGTTCAAAACAAACATCGCCCAATTCTACCATCCTATTTCCCCTTCCACTCGGCAGTGTCCGAAGCGGAAGAACGAATACCCTAATCAGTCGCCTCCGCGGACTACTGGCCCAACGCGATGCACAGCAGTAGGACGAAAGGACCAGCAGCCCGCGGAGGCGGTGCCTAATTGAGGTGTTCGTTCCTCTACCCATGTGTCCGGGCAAGAAGTCGATTTGATTTTCTTACCTGCACTATTCGCTATGCTGAATCAGAAAATCCACAATGGAGAGAGCAAAATTACGCAAAACGACTCTAACGCATGAGCGAAATCTGCGTCCACTGTGAAATCACTCTCCCAGCTTTCGCGGCGATCATCTCGCTTCCGCTACCGCCCTAACACTGCCACAAGCTAAGAGCGAACGAGTGATGAAGCCGGAACTGAGGAGATCGATTCCGAATTCGGGAGAGTGACTTCACAGGGTGGGAGATCCCCGCCCACCTGCAGATTTCCCTAGTGCGCTAAAGCCGTTTTTCGTCATTTTCGCGCCCGCAAATGATTCTGATTCAGCATAGGAATAGGCCCATGTAAGCAAAAAATCTCAAAATCGATTTATTGCCCAGACACTGCCACTAATAACTTCTAATGATTCTCTCAACTTATCTCGGACAATGCTATGTACCTATTCCGTTCCCCTTTCCTTTCCGGCGGGTACTACCTATTTTCACAGTTGCTTCAGAATCAGAGGCGATAGACAGGAAGAAAGGAAAGCTTAGAAGACCGACGCTGTGTACGGAGACGAGGAAAAAAGAAAGGCACGAGCGTTTCTTTTTTCTTGGTTTCAGAACTTATACGCGCCAGCGCCGCACGCTTGCCACTATATTAATGTACAACCTGAACCAGAGTTCATGACACTCCAGACCTTACAAATGTTTTCCACAGCGTTGCAAACGCCGTTCATCCGCCCCTTTTTTTAAGGTAAATTTCCACAACGATAACAATAACATTACAACGGCAGTCAAAACTAAGGAAGTTAAATTGAATAATGGTTCTAACGAGAAAATTATGTTAATTTGTTGTCCACTCACTGTTTATGATTACGTTTTTAAGAAAGTGAAAAAGATTCTTGTTGTTGACTGTGGTCGTGTTTTCTCCGGCTCTGTTATGTAGGCAACTGTTCAAGTTCCTGATATTGTAAGTGCATAAGTTGCGGTTGAAACTGTGCTTGATCAAAGAGACCGACAGCGTCGCAATTCTCTGCGTGCGATGAATAATCTAAATTTTCAATTACCATATTCTTCACCCAGTGACGTAAGACCTTTTCATTTCAGCGTTAGATACTCGTATTTCAAATTTTGTGCTTTACACTAAATTACCAGTAACAGCTTTACTGCTACAACAGCTTTCCACGACTACTGAGCTTAAAGAATGTTGTTTGCATAATAACCTGGAGAGGAGAAGTAGAACCGAAAGGCGCGAACTGCCAACTTATTTTGTTCCCTTCGTCTTGCTAACATCTGCTGAATGTTGACAAAATTCTCGGATCCGAAAGGTGTTAAATAGGTTTTCATTAAAAAAAATGTTTGTACCTAGTCCTAGCTACTATTAACTGGCACTGGTATGAAAATTGAGGTTTGTGTAGAGGAAGAAATTCCGTTGCAGAAGTGTACAATGGATAGCAACAACACTTTATCATGCAAAATAATAGAAACAAAGAAAAGTTCCGAAAAAAGTTTTAAAAAGGAGCAATATGGATGAGATCGCTTCCATTTACGTGAAGGTATTCAGGATACGCAATATGGCGTAAAAGCTTGAAGGTAACTGAGAGACGAAACATTACATTCCTTGTTCACAATAGTACGCACTTGAATAATGGTCACGCTAGATGAACAGGTGTAGAGCAACTCGGACGAGAAGATGCGAGTGCGGAGATCTGAAGACATCTACTTTGAACGCGTGCTATAGGAACCTGATTTTAATCTAACGAGAAGTTACGGGACAAAAAATTCTTGAGACGTAGCGTTGCCACGCCTTCAAAAAAAAAATTCTGGGATGTTTTCCAAAATTTTAGTGGGCCTACATAAAATCAGAAAAGGAGGCGTGGCTACAGCCATGCCCCCGAAAAAAAAAGTATGAAGGAGCTAATTTGAGTTTTTAGAAAAAATTTAAAAACTATTTGGATTAACAAAAAAAGCACTTGCGCAAATTCATAACTCACATAGGTAACATTTAAAAACTCCCTCCCCCCTCCCCTTCGATCCGCTTCTGTCAGCTAAGGTTGTAAAAAACAGCAAATAATAAGCAAAAGAATGCCGCGATTATCCTGTTACTGAATAAGAATAATTCTGATGTTACAAATGCGAAAAACAAGTGCGAGAAACATTATAGTTAGCTTGAATCAATAACAATATAGATTAAAAGCTCTTCCCCGTTGACTTTTAGGCTCGAATATTTTGATTTAACCACCCTATGTATGTAAAGGTAGGTCAGCTGATGCTCTCAAGCTTTTGCACCGTCGGAAAGATTTTGCGGACAGAATCTGGCACATGGGACAATCCTCAATATAGAAAAACTTTCTCAATTAGACAGTGGTAAATAACACTTACAGGCTTGTATTCTAGTGAGCTTTGGACAGATAATTTTGCCACCGAAGGCTTCTCCTCGCTTTTTACTTCTACCATCTGCTGTCGCTGGTTGCACGCAGAATTTGTGCTTGGATTTGGCCTGGACAACGTTGGAGCTCTATTGTAGATCGAAGTGGTGGATGAAGAGGATTCTCCATTCCCAGATGAAGTTGACTGCCCATATCCAGCGAGAGCACTCGGATCCATTTCTTGCCTAGTGAATTCCTCTTCAACCTCTTCTCTGAAACATTGGTCTTCAAACTTTTTGTCTTTCTCATTTCCTACCTACTTTTTCCATTCTTGAGGAGTTTTATTCGCATGTGATTTCTTCCCCTTCGTCAAGTATCTGGAATAATCATATAATGTACTACGAAAACTCGATCAAATGAAATACGAAAAAGGAACAGGGAGTACTGTAATGGAGGATAGAATTGTAAGAGTTCACTAGGGTTTTCGAATTTGTAAATGTTGCCTCCAATTGGACAACAGTAGCAAGAAGATGTGTGGTACTATTGTGTCCTATTTTTCTAACTTTTTAACTATAAGACAATTTCACCCAAAAGTGTGCTCTCGCCCAAATCAAATCAAGGAAAAAGTAACCGCAATTTTTGCACAAGGTTCAACTTCATTTAGCGTACTTGTTGGTTTAGTGCACTTACTATCCACTCACTTTTTCCAAATTGGAGGTTTCTTTCCTCTTCGTTCCTTCGTAGGAAAACGACTTGGAGCAGCGCTGAAAAAATACTTGGTACCATAGGAACATGTAGTTTTTGCTAATTTTGCCAAAAAATTCAAATGTCTGCAACTCTGATGAAATTTTTTCATATAGGAATCAAATTCAAAAAAAAGAAGATCAACTATAGTACCTTGCAGAGATCGTGTCCGAGAAAAAAGTTGGGTCAGCCAGAAAATACGCTGAATCCTTGTTTATGCGCACAGTTTGATCTCTAGACAAGATATAAATTTCTTTTGATCATATTGGTACTACTCCAGAATGGACAAGAGCAAAATTACCCTGCTGGCCTAAATGTAGTTGTTCTCGGTCTTCTAGAGCTTCTTCTGGAAGTATGGCCTTTTTTCTTCCCTTGTCGTTGCGTTTCAGTTTTTCTTCTGAAAATATCACATATTTCAGCTTCTAACTGGCCTGAGTCTTACCTTCATGGATTTTTGAAAATTTTTAGGCAAATACAAAAATCAACTTACATCGCTTTCCGTATCGTATTCAGCATCCTATTACTGGGCAATTTATCTGTGCAGACCACATTTCCATATTTCAACCTGAACATTTAACAAATCTATCACATTCACACATCACATACATTCTCACCTTGCAAGAAATTCGTGAATCTCCCTATTAGATGAATGACTGCTATAAGGTATCCATAAAATACTTTCGCCAAGAACCCTAGATATGAATTCTGCATCTTGAAAATAGCAGTAAATTCTTAAAACCTTCTGAGATCCCCTCGCGGTGACAGATCCACAATCATTGCTGGTTTTGGAGCTTTCTTCAGAGCATTTGCAGCATTGAAACATCTAAAGAAACGCCTAGAAATTTTTTTGCAAAACTTCCTACTGATGTCAGTAAGAAGCTGTTTCCTGCATATAATTAAGTAAGAAAGTGAGTGTTACTGATCACTGCCAGTCCCAGAAGTCTTTCCCGAGAGAGAGAGAAATGCCGCAAAATTTTTTGCAAATAAAGCGGTGTGACATTAGCCATACTATGCAAAAAATAAATAAATTGCAAGATTCTAGCGAGCTTACAACCCTAAAAAATCGATATAAATATTGTACGGGGAGGATCTGATTCTCAAAAATCCTAGAAATATTGTTTATTCAGAAAAACATCACTTGCATTTGAACGCATTACAAAAATTTTGCGACCCATTTCTGAGATGGAGGGAACGAGAGGGGGGCTCCCCAAGAATGTAAATGACGTCACTGCTCCTTATGACAAAAGTAAAAACTCCGATCTACAAAATTATCGATATTCTTGCGAATCCTCCCCCCCCCCTCCCCAAAAAAAAATACTGCAGTACATAGGCCCTAGATATTCTCACCTGGACCACATGTTTGTCACGGACAAGGTGCGGATACGGAAATTCGCATCATTACCATTCGCAACGAGTTTACCGCCTTTGACTCCGCACAACTTTGACACAGACAGCGTCTGAGAGCTTACCAATACAGATTCCTAAAATAGGGTTTTCAAATACAGTAACATTGCATCTACATACCGCAAGTTTTTGGCTGATACCAGCCAATATATCTTCCATGCCGACTTTCGGTATGGGAATTATGATGGTACGTCCTTGATTTTTTCTAAGCTCGTCCACCAACCTGAAATACCACTCTTGCGTTTCTGAAAATGTCACAGCAACATCTATAAATTTTATGAGCAAATCTTATTGTAGTTCCTGAAGCGCCATCAGTCATGGTGCGTTTGTTTTTTTCTCTCTTCTAGCCAGACCAGAAATTATCAAAAAATTTTGAAAAAAAACTAGTCTTACATCTTTTCCGAGTCCTTTCGCTCGGGTAGAGATCCAAGCGATTCATCAAAGCAAGTAGCGTCCAAGTAGACCGTAGAGAGGAATGTCTGAAATTTCAGAATTGTCACAATACGTTAGGCATGTACTATGAATACTGGCGTTCAGTAAAGGAAAAATTCACAAAAGCGCGCGTCGCAGCAGTTGTTCCCAAGTCTCGGGTTTTATAAACTGGAAACGTGTAAAAACCAAGTGAGTGAGCTTGAAGCAGAAAAAATTGACTGTCTTTGGCCACTCCAATAGATCCTCATTGTAGAACGTTGAACTAGACAGGTAATGTTGACAAGGAGGCGATCAAACCATGACCATCCCACTTTGTTAGGCATTCTTCTATGAGAGTTTGTGCAATTTACTGAAGTACTTTTCTAATTCTCTTTGTGACAAAAGAGGTTCGCGAATTTAGACATGCAGATGAGTTCCTCTGCACAGAAAATCATCACTAGTGAATAATTTAGGTAATATCATAGGGATTCACAACTTTTCACCAATTCATAACACAACAACAACGATTGATTTAGCTTTGTGGAAACGAAATTCAGTTGATGTGCAGTTAGAATAACAGATAGTCTCTGAGACTTATAAATTACAATAAGCAGAAAATCATGCTCTGTCAACAAGTTTTCAAAAAAAATTTCAAATTACCTGACTCAGTCGCGTGAAAGCTGGATCATTGTCAAAGAGGGCCATAAATTGGCTATCGGCTCTGAAATGTCCTGTCACCAAAGCACTTCCGCCAGGCACAAAAGATCCTCAAATTTTGTGTGATTAGCAAGAAAGTAGCGAAAAAGAACTCCAGATACCTTCGAAAAGAAACATCACCGATCCAGGACAGTGATTAGCGTCTAGCAGAGTCACCTAGAATAAACGCTTAAATTTTGGATCTGCCATATTTTGCACTTAAAAATTATCTGAAACTCACATGTAATGTTGGATCTATGCTGTGAACTTTCCCAACCTCTAAGGGACGAATAATTTTACTGAGTGAAGCCTTTCCTCTGCGAAGGAACATTTTAGACAAGGAAGGAAAAGACTGAAAACCTACGGTAGCACTAATGGCAGAAGTCGTGCAGTCAGCTGTGAGCAGTAAATCGGTTTTGCACCCCAATCAATGAATTTCTTCTGGAATTTTTCATCGTTCAGAAGACAAGTTGCGAGCACGATATTTCTTACATTGATCAGAACATGAGCATGAGTGAGAAAATGGTATTCGCACTTATCATTTATGCTAAAAATAAAAATCTGAGGGATAGAAAAAAACGAAGAAAGCGGTGAAAGGAACCCGAACGTACTAGAATCGGTCAACAGCTATATTCTGGCCGATAACAAGCCCTCCACCTTCTCGTTCTTCATTTTTCCTTGCCATAACCGGGAGAGGTAACCTAAATTCTTACTACACTTCATACACCTCTAAATCAGACCTACTCCATCTGCAAATTTGGCAAACTTTCTTGCGCTTCCACCATCGGGACAATTGTTTCCTCAGATTTTGTTTCTTCTTGAGCGCTGTAAGTCATCTCATAACCATACATAAGTGCTAATGAAAGTTTACTACCATCTCGCAAGAACCTGCGCCAAGTTTTCCTCTCCGCTAAACTTTTCGCAACGCGAAGGTTTGTTTTCCGATTGCGAACTACAATTATTCATCTATTAACCTAGCTATCGCAGAATACAGATGGATTCCTTACCTCCCTTCCAACTCAGCCACATTGACCTTGACTCTTTTGCAATTATCACTCCCTTCAACGGTACCGATACCTTCAGATTCTGCACCGTAGGTTCTTTTAACATTCGAAGTCTGTCTAAAGACAAATCACAGATCGTTTACTAGTTAGAACTCATCGAGTATTTGCGAGGTGAATAACTTATAAGAACTACCAAGGAAAATTTACGAATCTGGATCTTCTATCATCTTTAAATTTATGTGTTGCTCAAAAGAGAGCTTAAAAAAATTGGAGAAAAGACGACCTTGGGAAGGAGGTTACAGTGGGAGTGGCGCTAACAACGAAGCTGTCGTCGCCCTCGCCACGCCAACCCCATGTGCAAAAAATCAAAAGTTTGAATTCTCAAGAAAAAGATTGAATAGAGTTTTGAGCTCAGCTCAAGGACGGTATAAGATTAACATCCAAACTCCAGAAAATGAACGACAAGACAAGCTCACTTCTCTGATGTTGAGGCGATCTCCCTCGAGCCATCACTATCGTCTTCAGTACTCACGAGAAGTTCATCAGCAGTAGCTGTGTAAGTTCTTCCAGATCTCAGTATGACCATGATGACAAATAAATTTTGACGACTAAAATACAGGCGTAGAAATTGCGGCAAGCGAGCATGCCTTCTTTTGCTCAGTCAATTCAGACGTCCACTATACGATCTTCCCATCGTGATGGGCGGAACAAAGGCTGGAGAGTTCCCATCTGGCAGCTGTGTTTCACTCGCTTCGAACACGAGTAAAAAAAAAGAAGGGTAATGCGAGCGAAGCAGGCAAAACATGTTTATCAGCGCGATAATTAGGAGTGTGTTCATTCATAAAATGTGACGACGGATCTGACTGTTTTTGCGCCCACAGGAGCATAACACCCTCATACAAAAAGGTATCACCTTAAAGGCAGTGTCCGGGCAAAAAGTCGATTTCAAGATTTTGTGCTTTTCTGGGCCTATTCGCTATGCTGAATTCGAAAATCCACACTAGAAAGCGCGAAAACGGCGAGAAAGGGCTCTAATGCAGGAGGGAAATCGGGAGGTGGGCGGAGTCTTCACCACGGTGAATTCACGCTCCAAGCGTCCGGAGTGATTTTATCGATTTCGCTAGCCACCCTAACATCTCCACCGGCCAAGTGCGAGCGCTTGACTTGAAGTCGGAACCGAAGAGATTGCTCCGAACGCTGGGAGCGTGAATTCGCAGTGAGGAGGACTCCGCTCACCTCTGATTTCCCTCCAGTGTTAGAGCCCTTTTTCGCCGTTTTCGCGCTTTCTAGTGTTGATTTTCGGATTCAGCATAGCGAATAGGCCCGGGTAAGCACAAAATCTCAAAGTCAATTTCTTGCCCGGACACTGCCTTTAGCGCTTAACTCAGTCACTTTCAGTGTCCAAGTATTGTCATACCCAAGCAGAAAAACCAGTCGAGTAGTGATTAAAACCAAGAGCATGTGGTTGCGGGAAGGTGCGTGCGTGGTGCGCGCGGTCGCGCCATCGTCACGATTTTTCGAATGCCCTGTACACGAAACAGGGCTCGGCACGAGGTGGCACCAGGAAATTGTCAAAACGAAGTCCCCCTTGACTTTTGGGAATTTTTACGAATTTCCCCTTGATCTTCAACGATATCCCCTCTAGAATCCTAAAAAACCCCCCAAAAACGAAACGTCGACTAAAAAAAGGTCGCCGTCGCAAAAACGAAACCCTGTGTCGGCCCAAAAACGATATCCAGCTTGCCCCGTGCCAGCTGATGCCAGGTTATTCCCTTTTCGACAATGCTAGTACCCAAAATACACACAGCATTTGTGGAAAAAAAAGGGATGAAAAACTTCAATGTAAAAAGACCCCCGATTTGAGCCCTACAACAAATTTTGTAGATCCAAAATGCTGCTCAAATGACTAACAGCATGTTTGTAAGGAACATGGTGTGCACATGCGTATGAAGGACTTTGTTTGAAGATTTACTGAACTTATGCGAATGAAAGCGGGAGCAATCTTTTGTCCCAATTGACTGGAACCGCGCCACTTAAAGACCGCCACTTTGCACAAGTTAAAAAAACTAACTTCTCATACATGAGAGCAGGGAAGGGACTACATGTCTCCGATAGGCTCTACTCCGCGGACAGCTGGTTAAAATTCTGTAGTCTGTGATATGCATGACTGGGTGGTCTGTTGCAAATGTCCGCGTGGGAGCACCCCCTTGCGGCGACATATAGTCCACCCCGACTGTGGTCATTTTCGTTATTTTTTAAGAACCCATTTCAGACCGTACTTGCGCTACACGTCATGCAGAGCGACTATTGCAAATTGTTGTGCAAAACGGCTGTCTGCCAATGAGGAGCCTTGCAACATAGGTGTTTACGGTGTTATATCTACCCGGACACTGCCTCCACAAAAAAAGGCTTCTTGCCACAGTATTGACTAGTTGCTTACTTCCAAATGAACTACTGCACTCAGTATACAGCAGACTAATCGTACTACAGCACTAAAGTGATCAACACGAATGCACTTATCAATTTATTGACAAAAACGGCTGAAAGCAATATGTTTGGGATGCAAGACACTTTCACACGTAGAACTCCCCACGATTATAGATCGACTTAGAGATTAGAAAAAAAACCACAGACGAATGAATAGTTCGAAAGCAGACAAAGCAATATACAATTAACAAGTAAAAATCTTCACTATTTCAACAATTCAGAGCATTTAGTATGCATATAACAATCCTTATCACATTTGTTGATTATTAAATATCTAGTGGATAAATTCTTTGGCACCCAAAGACCAGCAAAAAATTTCATCTAGAAAATGTCGATTGCGCCAGCAAAAACAATGACTTTAGCGCCGGCAGAAATGCGGAAACCTAAACAAGTTGTATCAACATGGTGACCACAATGGTTAACTTTGCCTTACCTCTACGAAGTCTCCACCGGATCGAACCATATGCCCACAAGTGGCTACAGCCCCTCGGTAATCCCCTCTAGAAGCTTGTTCACAAGTTTGCCATAACAACTGCCGTGTACCCATGGTTAACTGCAACTCGAGGAAATTTTTGAAGCTTTCGAACTAGAGTCAGATTCAAATTACCCTTCCACTAGCTAGTCTCGGTGCCAACTCGCAAGCCAGACGGGTTCTTGCTTCCTCAGCTTTATGCAGAGCAACCTAAATGGAATATCATGATAGATTTGACCTTTCAACACGATATTACCTTCCAGTTGAGGATTGTATAAGGGGGCCCCCAAGGTTGCCCGTGCCAGCGCCGTGCCGCAAGTTCATAATCAATACGAAGCGCGCGGAATTTCGGCACGGCACTGGCGCAGCTCCAGCACACGGGCAACTCTGGACTCAACAGAGAAGACAACCAAACTCAAGACGAGAGAGAACAAAAGCTTTCAAAAAAATTACAAGCAAGCTGCAAAGGGGTATTCAAACAAAAAATGATGTAGATGACGCTCTCATTGATATCGGTTGTATTGTATCCATTAATGAAAATAAAATCTCACCGGCGTCCGATTTACTGATACAACTGCCTCAATCAACTGGTAGAATCGATTCATTATTGCTTGATCTTCTGCCGATAAACTTACCTAAAATTACAGCTGGGGACAGCATTAACTACCATAACTAAAAGTTCCGTACTTGTGGTATATGTTGAGGTTCATGATGATGAACTGAAGGAGCTGTAGATGGTGGTCTCATGGGTGCCGCACTGGGCACACCTGGAAGTCCATTGGGCAAAGTCACTGGCGCTGCTTCCAGAGGTTTCCAATTCACCTAGAGGTATATGGTCCTTTTAGTGAAGTATACTGGAAAATTCAAATAAAGCAGGGTTTACCTCCATGACATTTGCAACTGGGTTAGGCGACTTTTTGCCCGGTAACGGTGGCGGATCGTTCCAACCGGGTGTGAAGTTCTAAACGGATGCTGGTGCACAACAAAAAATACCAAGTCAGAAATACTCTAAACTTGCTACTCTTACTCCGTCATGAAAAAAGTCAAAGGGCCTATGCATTAACGTCCCCGCTGGGAAGGGGATTGCATCTCAGACAAAAGCTTTGTATTCTGAAGATCCAGGCTTCCGGATTTCACGCTGTGTACCGTAACTATTCCCACCATCCTTTACTATGAACATATTGAACAGGAGCAAGAAGCTGTCCAAGTCGCATTTTCCAGCTTTTATATGATCCCCTGATGATTCCCAGCGGCCGACCGTGTTTTCTCCGAAGTCGTTTGTCTTGTTTCCAAGTGAGAACATTCCATAGTTGTGTATGTCTAACTCAACAATGCCAAGCTTTGCCTTAGAAAAGCTAAAGTATTGGGATGATGAAAATGTCCTTGACCCAAGGACTAGAATGTCCTTGAAAATGTCCAAGTCGAAACTTGGGGTTTCTCAAAAATCTCATAATTTCAATAACCCATTTCTTTATGTCAGAAGGGTGCTTAGCACTGTGGGATTAGAGAATCACACAACTTTATAATGTTGTCGCCGACCGAAGAGAGAGGAATGACTTCGAAAAAGACGGTCGGCTGTCGGGGATCATCAGAGGATCATACAAAGAGCTGGAAAACGGCCTCGTACAACTTCTCGCTCCTTTCAGATAAGTTCATAGTGAAGAGTGGTAAAAATACCTATGGATGGATAGACAGCGTGGAATCCTGGATTCTTTATGTATGGGTTTTTTTTGACCTGCGATCCCCTCCCAGCGGGGATGTTGACGCATGCGACCCAAAGATATAAAGAGTAAAAGCATAGGAACACTAACTAACTTCAAACAACATTGAAAAAGGAGGAAAAATACTCACCCCAACGTCATTATAATTGCCACCACTGGACGCCACTGAGACAGTAGACATAGGACGCTCCTGGAAAGTAAATCGTGATTAGGATCTTCATTAACCTAATTGAGTAGCCCTGGCGGTGAATATAGTGTCCATGCAGTGCCAAAGTGTCAATCGTGCGCATGAACAGATAGCTTAGAAACCGGCAATCTGCGCGCATGATGCCGGCATTTCAGGCCTGGCTATCTATTCACGCGCAAAATTTTCCGCCCAATCTCGCCACCAAAGGGCAACACATTTACCATCAAACCTAATCGCCTCTATACTTACTTGCAAATGATGAGCATAGCTTTGTAGTGGAGTCATGGTCCTGGTCTGAGTAGGGATACCCGATTGCGAATACTGCGTGTAACTGCTGTAAGAGCTGGGAGCGGCTGCGGGTGGCATCGGCGGTGCTGGCGCCATTGGAGCCACTGGTGCCACCGGTGGCGGAGCAATAGGTGTGGGAACTGGGTTGAACCCGGGTACTGCAGGTGCTTGACTATACATAGACTGCATCGATGTGGGTGGATATCCAGGAAGTGGTGGCATTCCAGGAACAGATGGTGGAGGAGTGGGAGCGTAGCCACTGTAGGATGAGCTGGAATACTGTGGTCCAGTAGGTCCAGTAGGTAACGGTGGCATTCCTGGATGCTGCATGGCAGCGGACTGCCTTTGTTGTGAGGACGCATAGTATGAGGCAGCGGGGGCATTCGATGGTGCAAAGACAGAGTTCCTTTGTTGAGTGCGCTGGAATCATTCATTTACACAAGAAAAATTTTGAAAAAAAAATCGAGAATCAAATGCACACCCTTGGAGATAATGCGTTGGCGATTTCTTGCGTTTGCTTTGAACGAGGAAAAGCTGGTTCTTTGCTCATTGTGCGTTCTTCTCCTCCACATATAACGAAAAGGTCGTGGCGAAGGGTCAGTAGACGCTGAATTAGGAAAGAAGTGGGACATTACTTTCGGGAAGACTAATGATAAAGATCTTGTTGAAAAAAGAAATAAACAAATAGAAACAAAAATAGAATTGAGCCAAAGTTAAATAAATAGAGACAACCAAAAATTGAAAAATCTAAAGAAACGTGTAGGAAGTGCTTTACCTCGTCATTCGTTTTAAAATTGCTCAGCAGTCTCCAAGCTGCATCCGTTACTCCTCCATCTATTAGCTTTTCGCAGTAGCTGTGCAAAAGCTAAAAACAGCAAACTAAGATTTCATCGTTTCAATTTTTTAAGCCACAAAAGTGCAACCTTTTCATATTCAGCATCCACTTCGGTACCCGTCACTTTTTGCAAAACTATGGCCTGCTTGATCCGCTCCTCTAAAAGTACATAAGTATACTCAAGAACTGAGATAGGAGAGATTGAAGAACCTACCTAAGGCATAACCACGATTGGCGGATAACAAAAGCTCAGTATCACTAGCAAGCACTGCTGGCAACGCAGCATGGACAGCTTCTGGGCCTGAAACCATTTCCGGGTAAGTTTCGTATTGTAAAAGATCAACCAATCGAACCTCCCTCTCCGATCCAACGCGTAGCGATTTTGCGCATAGTATGAACGAGACGTGCACGGTCAGCTCGCATTAGCACAAGTGCAAGTAATCTCGTCCACTGATCACGAGGGAAAGTTTCCAGAAGTTGATCAAAGTTGTCAGTGGCGATCAGCGACAGTAACCGTTGAGGTGCAGCTAGTTCCTCTATAAATGACATAGAAGAAAGAAGAAAAAGACGAGAGAATCCAGTAAAAAGAAAAAAAAGAAGTAGGCTAAGACCATACCACTAATATATCTCTCTGCCACATGTCGGGTCAAGCTCGAACTATCCCTTGCTAGCATAAACGCTGTTGCATAATCTTTCTTGTCGAGGAGGCTGTCAATAACCACTTCTTCGCCTTGGTCAATCAAACTGTCCAGCAAAGACCATGCATTCGCATCTGAAGAACTGGGATTTGTATTAGTTGAAAGAAGTGCAATACTATAATTTACCTAAGCGATTCCAATCGAGATTCGGTTGCTTGGCAAAAATTTCAGCATTCGAATCGTCAGAAACCGACTCAGCATCATGACCGTTCTGCTGTAAAAGTATTTTATTACAAAGATGCAATCGAACTGCACATTTTCATAAATAATCACCAATTGAACTATGTAAATGAACTATGAACGCACCCGAGGCGAAGAGCAGTTCACCGATGACATGATGTTAGTAAGTTGAGTGACTTCGTTAGACGTTACCGATGTCTGAGAAACTCTAGATTGCTTCGAAACTGCATCTTCTGAGCCTAAACCATACATACATTCTTTCAAAAAAAAAAATTCAAGCAGAGCTCCATGAAATGCTTACTGACCATAGCCCAGAATGCGCACAAATTCTCGACGTCCTTGTTTATTACTCAGCGCTGCTAGGAATGTCCATAGCGTCTGCAGGTTACGATCTTCCGTGGCATGAGCTCTGAACAAGACGCATACAAACTGAAGCACATAATTCCGTAGTGCATAATCATGCCACATATACGCCATCTCAACTGCAGTGTCTGGTCTAGAGCTGCCGCCTCGCCTGAACCTTCGCTGCGTTCAGAAACGTATCTGGTAATTTTGCCATGCCTGGGCGTAGAGAAGGGCACGAGTCGAGCTTCACTACGGTAACTGGGCGTGGGAAAATGGCTAAAGGACACGTTCGCGAACGCAAGCCCAAGCCAGGCGGCCGCGCGGGACCGGAGCCGCTGGTGCACCCGGCACGGCGACTGAGACAGCCTGTAAACGGGAAAAAAGAAAGCACAAGAAATAGCTTAACCTGTCTTCGCAGTAAGAACCCAATGTATTGGAATCGCATGCATTTTGTAGTTCCATAGCAGACTGATATACTGCTTCATCTACTGGTAGCTAAATGAGAAGATAATACGGATGTAGGAGACGATAGCGAAGTGCGGGCTTAATCCGGCTGTCACTAAGAATTTATCCAGCCACTTTTTTCGACCGCCCCTGCTTCAACCAATTAAAAACTTGTAAACTCTAACAATTGCCAAGACTACTAGAATGCCACACAAAGTTGATTAGTTAACCGTATATGAAAATCACTGATGGATAATCACTCACCAAATTTTGTGGCTTTTGCTGGAATGGAGGAAACTACAAACGATATGAGGTCGCAAATTATTGTTGATTTTTTTCGACTACTGCATCCAATAATCGAACTATTACAATATTTCATTCACTACCTAATGTTTACGTGATCTTTTCCTACAACTGGGTACTCAGATGGATAAAAAATCTCAAAATGTCAAAGTTTCATAACATTTTCAACAGTTTCATAACATAGCTATACTCTCCAAGAAAACGCAACGATCCCCATTTTAAGCACGAATTTGAAATAAAATTTTCACTGCTTGACTCATGATATTATTTCTCAGTAGACGATGCGAAACGATTCGAGAGAAAAATACAAAAATTGCAATTAAGACATAAATGCAATGCAGAGATAACATTACATAAACCTCTCACATTATCAATATCAATCCACGCCTCGTCACTGCAGTTTTGTTTAACCCCTCCCGCAGCTTCCAAAAATGATCATCATAGCTATGACACTTTACTTAGAATAAGGGCTTTGAATTTGGGCATTTGAATTGCGCTCTCTATGCTGCAAAATTTTAAAACCTTCATCGGAGGTGGCGCATGTATTATGCTTGAGTGGGCAGCTAAATAAACAAAAGCGAGGATCATATTTTCATAAAGAACCTGACATCGCTTGATCTTCGTTCAGATATTCTTTCTACCGCTTGATTTTACGAGTCTTGACATTCATATTCGCCAGGCGTATGACTCCATCTAAAGAGCGTTTTTCGAACATAGATATCAAACACGTTGACGACGGCCATTTTGGGCTAAACTCCCACTATTTTTCGCTCATTTAGAGCGTCCATATGCGAGTATGCACAAAATGATTATGTGGGAGTCTTTTTGAAGCTTATTCATACAACATGCGAAATTGTTTCAGAATTTCACATATATAACAGTCTTTCAAAGATTACACATATCAAAAATTCTGCATCGCTGTCCCCTCCAAACCATGCAATGGCTATGGTTTATTGAAGAGGCAAGCGATGTCAAACGTTAACACCAGGTTTTTTTGCCTGATTCAATCTCGTTTGCTCTCAGGAAAGCTATATATATAGAGTTTTCACCTTCTCGGAAAAACATAGCCGACATATATTCACTATATCAAAACTGAAATGAATACCCGAATTTGCCGTTCAAACTTCTTGACAGCCCTGTGTTCTATATGATAGTAAGTTTACCAGTAGTAATAATACACTAAACTGCACAGAAGTCACCTCAGAATTTATCGTTTACACCCAAAAAACTAGCGTGCATACATACGTATGCGCGAAACCGTTGAACAGGAACGGCGTGCATACATACATATGCACACGGTCGTCAACGTGTTGAATTAATTTTCGCATGATTTCCAGCGGCACCATAAATCATGCGTACTACGCTACGCATTCAGAACTACATAGTCACAAGTTATTTTTATCCACAAAAATTATGCGAATGCCCTTTTTTACAAATCGATTTCGTTTCTACACAACAAAAAGAATATTTTTATTCATTTGTGTGTGATGACTAGTCCCTAGTAACGGATTATCCTGCAACTACATAGTTTTGCGATTTTTTGCCGTAGAACATAGTGATCAAAAACTCGTTTTCTCCACTTTCACGTCAGACAGACTGTATTAATGATGAACTTTCTGCCAAACATGAATAGTAGACGATTAGCAGTCAGCACTAAACATAAATAATGTATAAACTGGTTTTTTTCTCAAACTTAACTACGAGAGTGTCCACTGTTCCATTTGACAGATTTTTAGCTAGGTATGTTGGACCTCCTTATCTTAAATAGTGAAACTAGTGCGGATTGAATGAGCACTCTAGTTCTAATGCTCAAAAACTTTCCGGTCAACCCCAACAATGCAAAAATGCATAGTAAAAGGACCAGTTCTCGTCAATTCGTTGCAAAGCTGGCGGTATCTAAGGCGTAGCTAATTTCATCTGCTTCAAGTGCCAAGGCTGTATAATTGTTTATCGCACTGTAACATTATTGACGCTGATAAGTAAGTATAAAGTTCTACGTCACTGTGCAGACTATGTATAGTCGATACTTCAGTCATGCATAGTGCCATTATATGCCTTAACATTAAATCAATTCTGACTGCCTTTTCACGCAGAAACTTTCGAGACTGTTAGACTTTATTTCATATCTTGTTAGATGAAACAGCATATTTCTACTCAGAAAAAAACCTCCTGATCATACTTATCATCGAGATCGTTTCCTCTTCAAGATTACAATCCAAATGAAAAATTGTACCATTACTACACATGAGAATACATTTCCATGTTTTTTTTTCAGTTTATTCATGTTCGCATTTTTCACCTTCAGTTAAATCAACAGAAGGTAAAGTCTCCAAAGAGACTGATAAAATTTCGCCAAATATCAAACAAAAACAAAAATCAGGCTGACCTTTTTCACTTCTACAGTAAATCGCCAAGTTTTAGTTGCTTCGTCCCAATACTTGCCATGCGCAGCCATTCTTCCTCCGGCGGAAAACGATGCGCCCACAGGTGCTGCGCTTACCCACGTCGGGACCACATTTACATCTAACCGTCCTACTGTGGATTCCTAAGATGTGAGAAGGGTACAAAATTCAAATGTAAAGTAAGACTTCTTAGTCGGTCAGACTTTGAGAAACTGAGAATGGATAGATACCAAAAATTTTCTCACCTCACTACCGCCTTCAATAGAGAAGAATTCAGTGGGATGCTGATAGTACTGTATTGCTACGAGATCCGGACGTGCTTGCGACCATGATACCCGTCGCACTTTGTCATTCTTAATTATATAAGATTTTTTGGCGTCTTATTAATCAGCATAAAATTCAACCAATCCACTGAGGATAAGAGGAAGGAAGTAAATAAGTAATTTCTATGATTAAAAAAAGTAAAACTGTTCCAAATAATCATTCGAAAATATTGAAAAATGTCAAGCAAATGTTTCGAGACTCTTGAAAATTTAACCATCCAGAAACATCAATGAAATCTCAAAATTCTCAAAGATGTCAGTTTACCAACCTGTTGCTGTAGTTGAACAGCTCCTTGTACTTCACCCGTTTCTGCGTTGAAGACCCTTATGAAACCGTCGTTACCTGCGGATACCACAAGACGCGGATCTTTTTGATGCCTGAAAAAATGTAAAAGTTGGAAGTCGACGTATCAATCAATAAGCTTATTTTCTCATATATTCGAATATTTTACGGTTCATATATTCTCAACTGACGCATGAGAAACATTTTTGTTTCTACTTCCTGATTATTTTCTATTCAACCCCTTAAATATTGAATCAAATTGAAAGTGCTAAATATTCATCAAATCACCACTCGTTTTATTTTGATATAAACATCTTGAAAAACTGAAAATCAATGAATTAGCTGTTACTCGGTGTATGTATAGGGGCCTGCAGGATCGCGAGAGTCGGACGTGCGTACGGCCATTGCACCGCGCACGTCTGATGTCACTAAGGCAGGTGCCAGACTTATCCGCTTCAATCGGTTCGTTCGGTTCATAGGTCAAATAGCTACACTGTCCAACAGAAAAGGTGGTGGACCGAATGAACCTGTTCAACAGGATAAGTTTGGCATCTACCTGAGTCGTCGGACGCGCATCTGACGTGCGCGGCGCAAGGGCCGTACGCACGTCCGACTCTCGCGATCCTGCAGGCCCCTATATCTTTGAGATTACATAACGCTCTAAATCAGGAACAAATGTACATTCGCCGAATTTCAGTCCTGCTCTGATTCCAATATCAAACAGAAAATTCAAACATGTTCTCATTTGCAACGTATCTTTTCCTACCACCGTTCTGTTTGTGCCTTTATTATCGTAACTTTTCAAAACGGATTACCCCGTTTTGCTTCCCGTCCTGAGTCATGCGCTCATTTTGCAAAGATAATTGCTCTTAATTTGTCTCCTTATCAGCAAAGTTGCACATCTTCCGAGAAAATGACGTGTATCTGGGTACATCAGAACACAAACATTTCTTTTGCGAAGTCGATAACGAAGTGATAAGCATATTAATGGCTACCACAGGTCGAAGACTAATTCGAAAAGTTGCTCTTGCAAAGAATTCACCACTATAAAAGGCGAAACGCGCAGAAGGTTTCGCATTAAACTATCTGAGATGCTACAGCAACCAGGTAAGGGGCTCTTCCTCGAACTAAGAGTCATTTTGAAATTCGTTTTCATCAAATTCTACCTAAACCTCTTCCCCCGTCGACAAAAAAGACGTTACATCGGCCCATCGGCCGTGACGCTCAAACTTACAAACATCGTTCACTCACACAGTATCAGTAAATAATACACTACCAACACTTTTATCGTATGAATAAGTGTATTCATAGTTGTTTCTACTGCACCCTATATGTTTTTGTTATTTCATGAGCGCAGCGGAGCTCAGGCGACACTCACATTTTGGGTTGCAATTTATTCGCCCCCTAAAATATCTGCAGCGTGTACTTCTAAATCAGTTCAAAAATTTTCAGACACTTAGAGCTTTTTCTAGGCGATCAATGACCGCATTAGTCATTTTCAGTGACTTGCAATAGCTTCGATTGTAAAGCGAACACGGAATTTGTGAACTGCTGCTAATTGCCCTTTATGATTGAAAAACCTCTTGCCAGAATCTTACAAAAACCATTCTAGCAGCCTTAAGATAGAGGAAATTTGAACATAACAATTGATGATCCTCACACCGGAATAACAATTAATAAACTTGTGATGAGCTCATGTAACACCCCCTCTATAATAAATTAATAGTATTTAACAAAGGGATGCCCCTAGATGGTTGGGCTTCCGAAAAATCACTTTTGTGAAGTTGCCGGGCGTACTTCTGTTGTTCTGTATTGTGTTTATCTAGTCCTTTGTAGCCGATTTATATGCGTTTACTTGGTGTTCTAATGGTTTTGCTATGTTTGATTGATTCGTGTTGAGACTACGCGATCGCGCCTGCACATCTTCTCGGGCCGCTATGGCTGCGTTCAGACTGATTTCGAAATCCGGGAACAGTTCCAGCACGGCGCTTGAAATGAGCGCGAAATGAGCGCCGTGCTGAAACTGTTCCTGGATTTCGAAATCAGTCTGAACGCAGCCTATATAAGGCGGCTCCGCTTGGCTCAAGTCACTTTTTGTCATCGTGTCACTTGGAGTGCGGTCTCAATTGAGAAGCCAAGCCGAGGAAGACGCAGACGCCGATCGCCTGGAGAATCACCTCAATAAAATTTCTCTATACCCCTCGACACCACGCCGAGCCCCGCATTAGCGCCTACCTTGCAACTATTGCCTGACATCGAAGAAACTAAGTCTCTTCTTCTATACACTTCTCCGAATTTCTGATCGTTCTCGGCATATAGTGAGTGCATAGAGTAATTTTTTAAATATATAGAACCTTTGGCTACATGGCGAACCACAATGGAGGTTGTGATTGCTGTTTACAAATTTCCGCAGCCAAAAATGTGATAATTGTCAGGCATTTGAGCGTGGAAGTCAGTTCTTGGGCAATTTAGACCGCTTGAATTTCACCATCCATGGTCGCACAAGTGGTAGGAGACTTCGAAACTTTTTGATTAGTTGCCAGCTACATTTTACAAGCAACTTCAGTTCGTTTTTCGAAGCATGATTCTTCGAAAATTCGTTGAAGAAATCCGACTATTCTACATACTTTCCTGCACAATTCCGCTGTCATAATGATTGGTGCTCAAACTAAGTTGACTATCTGATTCTCCTTGATTTGCTCTTTCCACTGGTAACATACATTTTCAATGAAATAAAATCAATTTATAACATTTCTACAAACCGTTAAAAACGACCTCATTTTCAGTTGACCTAATACTATCGTCGCATATCATTTGAAAAAGAAGTTATCCGCTTTTTTTCTAACTTGAGTCATGCGTACATCTTGCAAAGACATTTGCTTTTAATTTGCTGCCTTATCTGCAGAGTCGCACATCTTACGAGAAAAGGCTCGCGTCGGGGTACTTCAAACGCAAACACTTTTTTTAAGTGTCAAAGAAGTGATAAGCATGTTAATGGCTACCACAGGTCGAAGACTAATTCGAAAAGTTGTTCTTGCAAAAAAATTCGCGACTATAAAAGGCGAAACGCGCAGAGTTTCGCATTACCCCTTCTGCGAAGTTACACCAACCAGGTCAGCGCCTTTAACCCCAAAATCAATATCATTTTTTCCAAATCAAACCTATACCCCTTACTCCATCAACAAAAATGACGTTATATCGGTCGTGACACTCAAACTTACAAATACTTAGTCGCTCACTCACACAAGTATCAGCAAATATTACACCATCAACACTTTTGTCGGATGAACAAGTGTATTCATAGTTGTTTTCACAACTGCGCCCTAACAATCGAACATGTTTTTTGTTATCCCATGGGCGGAGCTTAGGTGACACTCACACTCAGTGGATTGCAATCTATTCGCCACCAAAAAATATTTGCAGCGTGTACTTCCAAATAAATTTTTGACATTAGAGCTTTTCTGAGCGATCAATGACCCCATTATATTACAATATTCGTTGTAAAAAGCCATTTCCATCAACTCGCATTAGCTTCGAACGTAAAGCGCCTAGCGAAATTGTTATAAACTGCTGCTAACTGCCCTTTCATAATTGAAGATTCTCTTGTCAGAATCTGAAGAAATTCTAGAAGCTTAAAGTTGGAAATGCAATGGTTTTATTGTTTACAAGAGACAAGCTTTTCTTTTTCCAAATACTAATACAGGCATAGATTCTTTGGGGGACCTGTCTCGATTCAGTCTTCATAGACTTTAAGTGGAAAGCACCTCCTCAAAATGTTTATCACATTATGGCCAAAAACCCCATTGTACAGACGTACTGGATACGATTTCTACGCGAAGCATTCAACGTCAGTAGGACAGCGAAATCCAACTATCAATCTAATTCCACCTATGAACATCTACAAGAGATTTTTCTCCCCACACTTGACCTTTGATTCAACTGGCTTGGCGGCTGGAAGGCGGGGCTTTGTGACCCAATTAAGGCCGCTCGCGCCCGCTACGCATTCTGCGTCTCTCTCGCGCCCGCTACGCATTCTGCGTCTCTCTCGCGCCCGCTACGCATTCTGCGTCTCTCTCGTGCCCGCTATGCAGTCTGCTTTTCTCTCGCACGCGTGCTCACTGATCATTATCTAGCCTTAACTAGGTCACAAAGCCCCACCTTCCACCCGCCAAGCCAGTTGAATAGAACAAATCAACAGCTGACTACAAGAAACATGGATATTTAGCATAAGAAACGTGGTTACAACCTGCGACAAGCGCATGAAGTATTCGAGGACCAGTTCTGTTTTATACCTTCACAAATTCTTCATTTAATGATGATTAGTTCTCGATTCACACTCCGAAATCTTTGGAACTAAAATCGCTAAGTAAGTCTAACCGCAAAGTTTCATTTACAGATTTCAACTGCACGTACTGAATTCACAAGATGAGCTACACACGCGCATCAGCTCCTTCATCAATACCTGACATAGTGGAGACCTACGAACTCCCGACCGTGCTTGTCACACTACCCATACATGTACTCACTATTATATTCATCACTATCTTCCTAATCAGCATACTGTCAACAAAACATATGCATAGCCGAATTCAATGGCTTTTCGGAATCAACTGCGCTTTCTTTCTGATCGCTTCACTGTACGATATTGCCTTTGACATCGGCTATTTGGTGATTTTGAATAGACCGGTGAGTTTCAACCCTTTCAAAGATTGCTTCAAGCTTTTTCTTGTCAAAAAATAAATTTAGGTCACTGTGCAAACATGTTCTGTGATCAGAAACTTCGTCTACAATCCCATTGCTACACAGGCTTTTGTAGACGCATTCGAGCGTTTTGCACTAGCATTTTTTGATTTTGAGATGTCTTTATTTACGTGAGTTTTAACCATACACTTAAAGCAGTGTCCCGGCTAAATCTCGCCATCCAGTTTTCATCTTTTCGGAATCCGCTCTGAGGAACTCATATCTGGGCATTTCAGCTTTCAATTTTGCCGAGCACACGAAAATGGCGAAAATGAGCTTTTTTCGAAGTTTTCCAAGTCCACATTCAGTGGAAAATACGTGTAAGTGGGCGGAGTGCGAAACGAGGGAGGCGAGGCCCGGAAGACTTCCGGCGAATTTCCACCAAATTTCCACTTTCCACCTGGAAACCTTCGAAGAAGGCTCATTTTCGCCATTTTCATGCACTGGAAAGCCCAGATATGAGTTCCTCATGGCGAAAAAGCTCCAAATAGGTGAAAAACTGAACAGTGAGATTTTGCCGAGGCTGCCTTTGACCTCTCCACCCCAAACCCTTTTTTTTTTCAGGGTCTTCGCACTCTACAGCGTATTTCCCTTAATCTGCATAGCATTAGCCATCTACAACAGCTTCATCTCGCAAACGCTGACACAGACTGATGACGTTTGTGAGACTATTCGACGAACAAAATGGACTAATATTGTGCTTCTATTTATACAATGGTGCGTTTTTCTTACCAATACAGTTAACATGACGTGGTCCAGAACTTTTCTCTCAATTTTTTTTGCAAAGACATTTGCACTGAATCGGAGAAAAAAACTGAAATGAAAATGTGAGAAAAATCGAGTCTTTTGCATTACTTTTACCACGGTATGAGGTGACATCGGCGATATGATTACTTCGTGAATGTATTGGTGGTGATTTTTGCTTTTCATTTCGCTCATACCTAATTCGGAGGGTATACAGAGTTGACAAAAAGAAAGGAAAATGAGTTTCTGCTTAGAGAACATAGCTTATAAGGAATTGCGTAAAACAGATGGTCGCTTTTTATTAGGTTCGAAAATAAAAGACTAAGGAAATCGTATAGAGATTTCAAAAATATAATATAAGCTTGAAGAAGCGTGAAGAAAAAAAAACCATGAAAAAGTGTTGTTATTACAGGAGCTCAGCTTTTGTTGCCATCATATTGTACGTTATCGTATGGCGTAAATTACAACGTGAACGCAAGTCAAAATTCAATCCAAACCAAGAAAAGCGTGAATATGATTCGGACAAGATGGTGAGCTAAATATTTGAGCATTCAAATTAACCAAAAAACCTACATTTCAGTGCCCGAACCGTTACTACTGGGACCACCATGTCGTCAAAATTTTCTTCATCTGTTGTGCATTACCACTAATTCTAGCTCTACCAAGTTTGATATCTACCATTATTACAGAACTGGAGTTCTATCAAAATTCGGTGAGTCAAAACATAAACTATGAACCCAGTGCAAGATAAGCAAATAGTAGTGTTCATAGTGATAACGAAACGTCTGGCTGTTTTTGCGATACCGATAGCGGTCTCCTACGCTTGCGATAAAAGTGTTTTTACAGAATCACTTACAGACCAAAATAAGATATGGAGATAAAAAAGGGTTAGAAGAAGAAGATGGAAGAGGGGCCTTAAGAGTTCATCAAAAGAAACCAAATCAACTATTAAAATACGAAAGCTACCGCGAATATAAAATTTCGCAGATGACTTGACTTACTTGTAAATGAATGTAATAACTTTTTGAAATTTAACAAAATTCAAAGCAGTAAATTGTAAAGATCGGAAATTCAAAGAAACATTCAACACCGCCCAATGTTGACCTCTGTATTTCAGGTAGCAAACGTGATCTGCATTCTTATACTGGATCTCACCACTCCAATTACTCTACTTATTTACATCTTCTTCATCAAGCATATACGTCGTGGATTTGTGGATTGCATCTGTTTTTTCGACCATGACATACGGGACACCCATCCACCGAAGCACAAAATTATTTCTGAACATTTATGACCGCCCTACAGCTTCGACTTCATTACACAGGTATGAGAGCTTATCCAGACATCAGCAGCAGGTGAAAACTAATCATATCCGCCCGCAATAACATGAAAGTCATAGATCTATTATGACCTGAGTATCACCCCTTTTTACATAACAGTCATGGTTGTTAGCACTGACAAACTCTTATGTACAAGGTAGGCATCGAATGTTCCTATTGAGCAGCTTTCTTCCTCTTGCTGTAGCGTACAAATTTGTTACTGACAGCTATCTACGATGAATAAACAAGAAGGCATTAATCCACTAATCCACGCCTGAATAATCTCAAGTGCAGAAACTCGTGCAGATGCATTATCCGATAGCGAAAATCAACTCATTTCGCATGAGTCTGTTGAGTGAGGGTACGGTAGCCATACAATAAGGAGTGAGAACTATTTTCATTGAAACTTTAACAAAAAGGAGGGAGAGGGGGGCCAGTCTTTGCGTGTCATGAATCGTTATACTTCTCAGATTTTACCGTATCTCCTCAGTCATAGCAACTAGACTTTATGAATCGTACAGTAACTTCGCAAAAGGGTTTACGGTAACGAGTGTGATCAACATGTCAGCTTCCCTATGCTGAGTTGGATAGGGGAACGAACTCCGCTAGTTTGAGCCCCCCTTCGCTGGCAATTAGTCCTTTTGCAATATTGTTGCACAAGACCAAAGCGCCGCTACGCGGCGCTTTGGTCTTGTAAGTGGATAAAATGTACAATTCATAAGCTATCATCTTGGCGCTTTCAGCTATGTATTCCAAATTTCAGCTTATCCAGCATTATTCAGACAATGTACGAAGACATATGTACGGTTCATGCTAATTTGATATAGAATAACCTGACCGGCAAAGTTTTTGAGAAATGAGGTTTTTTCTTAAAGGTTACACCCGTGAATCGATTCACTATTACTAAAGCAGCAACTTTGAAGTCAAAATCTGTAGTTTGATCTACTTTGTAAACTGTAAGACCACTCTCTTTTGCAAAATTTGCACAATCGCTCATGTAAAAATACCTTGGAGTTTACAACACAATCAAAGCAAAATTCATGAATAATCGGCTATCGCTAGACTATGCAAATTCAGTGCCTAGTAGCGGAATGGAGTACATGATACGTAACTCGTAACATTTGAAGATAAGAGTGAGATCGATGAGTATATGCATATGCAAGGTTAATAGTTATTAATAACTATAGTGTATTCAGCATATGAGTAGTATGATATATAGGTAATGACGTAAGATAGATGAATGTATAGTGATATGCGAGTAACGCTAATTGTTATCAAATTTTGGTTGTGACACGTAAGAAAACAAAACAAAGCTATCAAGATCGTCAAGATTGTTGAGGATTTCAATATGTGGATAATTGGTGTTAGTCTGTTAGATACTTAATTCATGGCTACAACTTGAGAACTGCCTTGATGACCACATTTTTCACCCGTTCCTGTGCCTTCTGCACTTTGAGACCTTGTTTTCTTCGAGCTCGCGATAAAGCCACATAAAGTTGTCCATGCGAGAACACCTCCGTATCGAGAAAAATACCCACGTTCGTCAAACTCTGCCCTTGCGCTTTATTTATTGTCATTGCAAACGACAAACGGACGGGGAACTGTCTCCTTCGCAATCGAAATGGAACCCCTTTGTCAGTATAATTATCTATGCGTGGGATTGGCACGAAATCTCCCTTTCGATCACCTGATGCAAATCTGCAACCTAGAACGAAATGGCCGCAATGCGCGACTATCAATCTAGTACCATTGCAAAGACCATTCCGAACGTCTAGATTCCGCAGAAGCATAATTATCGACCCTTCTTTCAATCTAAGCTTGTGTGGAGGTAGTCCAGCTGGAGCTAGGCTATTCAAAAATTCAGTGCTATATTGGTTTGTTTCTGCCTCATCACTCATCACATCATCAGCACTTATGTATTCGCGCAGTTGGCCTGGAAGTTTGTCTAACGCTTCTTCATTAATTCTATATGCCTCAAGGTTTCTCGGCGCCAGTATCGCACGTTCGCTTAATGTTTCAAAGTCTGTAAGGAGGTCTCCAAACACCTCGTCAATAAGATTGCCACTAGAGATGATTTCACGCGGAAGTTCTATTCTACCCATTTCGTCTTCGTCTGCCTCTCCATTTCCAACGGTCATCAAGAAATCACACCAATCAGATCCAGATTCAACCGCTCGCATGTTAATTGAAGGACGGTGTTTGCGAAATGACTTCCAAAGATCACTATTTTTCACGCAAGCGTCGATCATATCCGACTCCTGTCCTCGTACTATGATAGGCAATACCTGTCGAAAATCTCCCCCTAATACAATAGTCTTTCCTCCGAAGAGCTCGCTGTTGCACATGAGATCTTGGAATAGAACATTAACTGCTTCAAGCCAAAACTTCGGGACCATGCTAATTTCGTCCCAGATAATGATGTCTGCTTTCTTGAGTGGAATGGCCTCTTTGGAGTCTCGACGCATAGTGGAGTTACGATTGCCCTCATGCATATTTAATTTGAACCTGGAGCTGGCCGTTCTTCCCTCAGGTAATAAACTAGCTGCGATTCCCGTCCAAGCTACGCAGATAATGGATTTGTGCTGCCCTTTTAACATGTGGTATATGGCATTATACAAATAGGTCTTTCCACTACCTCCAGGACCATCGACGAAGTGCAATTTGGGTCGTCCAAGACCGAATGACGCTAAAATACTGTCTGCAGTCAACCTTTGTTGCATGTTAAGACACTCATACATTTGTAACCCCTTCTGCTCATGATATACATAGTCAGTCAAGTCAGCCAAGACCGGTCGAGTCTGTGAAGGCGGTTTTATACTGACAGCTAAGTCATAGCACAGAACCTCTAGTCGGTCGTATAAGTCAAAGTATGCTGACGCTTCGGCGTCAGCTTCACTGCAGCCTCTGTGGATAAAGTCCTCTGCCATTTCAACTTTGAAGCGTTCATAGAGCTGACGTGGATCGGAAATTGTACAAAACGCCAGCAAATAGGAGAATGTTGCCCGAAGTTCGGCAGGCATTTGGAAGTGAGCAACTTCCTCTAGGCAACTGACGTAATGTGCGTCATCGTGCAAAAGACCTAAAGCGCGTACTGCATCCAAAAATGTCGGATGTACTTGTTCTTCAACTGTGCGGAGGTCTTCAAAAGAGCGCATGTTCTTTCGATGAAGAAGCAGTATGCGCAAGCTAAATCTTTCAGGATCATTTGGAGGAGCAACAAACATGCGACCAATCTGACGGTTCCCCCTTTCCCTTCTTTTCCATTTCCGTGTTTCTTTCATAAAAGTAAAGTGCTCAGGTAATTGGTAGTAGTAGAGCGTACGAGGGTCAACACCTTTTGACACGTCAACATTTTCTCTTTCCATACGATAATATTCAACATTCAACTTAAACCAAGCTGTGAGCATGGAATCTCGAGAGGACTCGCGCACCGCAGCTTCACGCTCACTACCTGACTTGAAAGTCACCGACTGAAAATCTGGGAGGTGCACAGCCAGTCGATAAACGGTGTCAGATTTGAACTGGCATTTGTTCTCGAAGATATGATGCACAGCCTCGGGAGAGCACACGTATCGAGCGTCTAAGTGAGCACGGATTTCGTCAAGTCTCTGATTTGTATCCTGTTGCACTAATCTTAAGGAAGCTCTATCTGGTCCCTTGTACACATATTTGAATAGGTATTTAACCGCCTGCACATAACCGCAGATCTCCAGGTTAATGTGAGCATTCAGAAGAAGCAAGAGATAGGGGTTATATGGCACGACGTCCCTATTATCATACGTCTCTACTCCCACTTTTACCGTACGACCGTCGCGAGGTCTTTTGTATTTGGGATATCCGTCGACATCAATGACAGTCGATTCCCTATAGTCTTTAGGAAAACGTTTCAAACATTTTCCATTCAGCATGCATGGGGCGGTCAGATTGGTCATTCCGCACCGACGATGTATCATGTTTCTCGATACTATGTTGGTCAGACGGGGATTTTCGGCAGCGCTTGGAAGATATGCATGAACCGCCGAGTCCACATCCTCAGAAGTTCTAGGCTTAGCATCTGCAGCCATTATTAAGAGCATGTGACAGTGCGGAAGCCCTCGCTTCTGCCATTCTACTACGCCAACGTGGGCAGCAACAGAGCCTAATACTTTTTTCTCGAAAAGATACTCTTGTAGAACTTCTAGCTTTCGATTAAATACGCGCGCTACCAAGTCGGGCCGATCTGAAGAGGATTGTCCATTGTAGAGGTTCTCGCTTATCTCTTTCCAATGGGGATTGCAAGTAAAAGTTAAAAAATAATCCGGCTTCCCATACTTGGCAACTATGGACATTGCATCATGATATGACTGATGCATGGCTCGCGGACTAGCGCGAAACGATGAAGGCAAGATTATACGTTGCCCAGGAGGCCCATCTGCGCTGTCACTGGCCAAATGGTCCATGAGCCCTCGATAACTATCTACCCGCAGCTCCTTTTGATGCGTGCGCGTATAATTTAGTCGATTTTGTTCAATTTTGACGTACGCGTCAACTACAAATTGCTGCAAAAGTTTGCCGGCGTAATGGAGCGGATTGAACGATCTGCGCACGGCCAGGAGATTAGAGTAAAACTCTCGCTGAGTAATTCTAGTGCGACTGCGGCTACTGGGTCTCTTTTTCAAATGGATATGCCAACCGAGTCCGCCTCTGGGAAAAAATAGAGGATAAGTTAGCGGATCGCAACGGCCATCGATGTCTGGAATCACTTGCAGACCGATCCTTCGATGATGAATAGCGAGAGAACGTGTCGCTGGAACGTCGTTGTCTTCCCCCACATAGACAACAGCTATCTCGTTAGTGG